TCTCTCTCTCTCTCTCTCTCTCTCTCTCTCTCTCTCTCTCTCTCTCTCTCTCTCTCTTGCTCTCTCGCTCTCCTCTTCTTCATCCCTCCATCGCTAGCAGCTTCTCGCCGTGTTTACGGGGCGTCCCGACAGAGGCGCCACCATGGGGTTGTGTGGTCACGGCTGGAAGTTCCCAACGTCGATCGAATCCCCAATTGGGTGGGAGGCGTGAGCACCAAGGGTCGCTTGGCCGTGCCGGGTGGCACAGGTGGAGGTGGAGGTTAGGGGGAAATACCGAACCCTCCGCACTAGCATACCACTCTTCGCGGACACCCTCCAGCTTTCTCCACTCCCCCCCCCCCTCCCGCTGATAACGCTGCTACTTTACCATTGCGCGAACTTGTGAATGGAGACGGGGATGGACCGCTTGTGCGAGAGGGTTGTGAGATGTCCTCTGGCGATCGGCCGAGAGGAAAAAGTCCCTAATGGCTGTCCTGATCGGTGTTGCAAAAATTTCTTTCGATACAGCCAAAGAATCCAAGATTGTATTTGATGAGTAGCCGCGAGACCTACTGATTCATCCCTTGCTTCCTTAAGTGTGAAACATTCATTCCATCTAGTTTGAAGACCAATCGGCGAAAACATAGTCAAACCACTGATCGATAAGGTAGATTGTAGACATATAATATATGCACATACAAATATGTACAGGCATTATATTCGTCATGTTCCTCGATATCAAACGTGAGTAATATTAATAAGATACTATCTCATTGGAAGTACTCGGAAATGCAAAAGTTCACTAAAACCGCCGAAAATTCGATGGAACTGCGATTGCACTTGCTGGAAAACGGAAGCAGAAAAAAAGGAGCCAAGGTAAATTGGCGAAGTTAATGAAAAAGGAACACCGGCCGTACGCATTCGTGACAGAGTGAATCAAGCTTCGCGATTGTATTTCCCTTTGTTTATTCGTCCTCTCTCGCGCTCTTTTGCGTTGTTTTTTTCTATCGAACGCAGAATGGAACAGAGAGTGTGTGCCAGTAGAACAGCTCGTTGCTCGGTCGGACGGATTTGGACCGACTACATGCACAGTGCAGTGTGACAACAACAAAATTCCGTTTGCTGGTAACTCATATAGTAGTCAGGAAGATCACAAAGAGCTTATTGCCGCTGTATGTGTGGAATAGCGCGTATCTGTGTACCAAGTCTTATGCGGTCGGAAGCTGCGAGCTCGATCAATCTTCCGCACAGTTTTCGCGCGATTCGAATCATCGACATTTTATTCCTGTAATGCGATATTAACGATATAAATAAGATTGTTTTTTTGTTTATAAAGTAGACATAACAACACGGAAAAATGAACACACGAATATAAATTCATTTTTTAGAGATTAACTTTTTGCCAATTTAATGACGACCGTAGTTAGCCATCCTGTGGATCTTTTTGAATGTTTAATCTTGCCGAGTGAACATCAATGAACACAACCTTTTCTGCTAATTCAATTTTTTAATTTTATTTCCACAATACTACGTTCCGATTATTTTCGTTTCTTATGCACACTGGTAGAAAAAATTAACTGTCGAAAACTTGATAAGAATAAAAGAATTAATAAAATAATTTACAAGTAGATAAATATTTCTAACAAAAGATATAAATTATAAAATAAATTGTCAAAGTTTAATGTGTAAAGTTTGTAGAAAACAATGTTCGTGCTGAAAATTTATTAAATTCTATTTCCATTCTGTTTTAAATATTCGAAACACACGATGGTTTATTAAAACACGTATAATTGTGCCACTTTTGTATTAATTTACAGTTAATAAACGTTTAACGCCATTACGTGTTTATTGGGATTACACAGTTTTGTAGAAAATAGGAATAAATGTCATTATTTCTATGTGCACATTAGTTACTTCTAGTCATTAGTTCCATTATTTATCGTTATTAACACTGTTAATAATACTATCGAGTACTGCTAATATGTTCACATTACATGCACAAGTGACTAATTACTCGGACGAGTATGCGTGCATCGATCATTAAACTGTCACAAAGTCGATTATGTAGAGTGTCCTAGACCTTCGACCACACCATTTAGCCAACGCTCGCAATTCGATGTCTCGGTTACGCGCGACTTTGGACTATTTAACCGTCCGCCCAGACGAACACCAATGATCCTTATTCCCTTCCGTCGCTTTGAGGGTGTCGTTCCAACACTTTTTCGCGGTGTCTGAATCGAAATTGCCTTTCGCTTCAACGTCTTCTTACGCACGTTGTTTTCCATGCTGCAATACGACTTGTTAATCCTACAAGTTCTTCTAGCGCTTGCATAATTTAGCGAGGTTCGCGCCACGTGCGGACCACACCCACTTTTTATTCCGTGATCATCGATTCCCGTGAGAGCATTTTATTCGCGCAATAAGACCGAACGAAGCGCACGAAGTACAATTGCAAAATTTATATATAAAAACCTAAAACGTTTTCAATTTATTTCAAGATAGTGATTCCTGTCTTTATAAGAATCTACAATATCTGAAGTAGATTAGAAATTGTGTCGATTATTAATTTCCTACATTGGTTAATTACTTACTGGCGACAAGAAGTCTTTATTCTTGTTGATTATGAATTCTTCAAATAATCCTATAATTACGCATTACATAAGTGATAAATGTAATATGAATGTGTATCGTAGACTTCCTGAATATTTCAGTTAAAATACTTATATCTTCCAAAACGTATCCATACAAAAAGAAGAGTAAATATTTCGAGATTGTATAAAAGTTCTTTTTATGTTAGACGTATAAAATTTTTTTACCAATGTATTTTCTTTTGTGCTCTATTAAACAAAGAAAGATCCATGATAATGATTAACTCTGCTAACAAGCTGAAACCACTTATTGTGTTAGAAAAAGAGACCATTTATCGTCGCCCGTAACTTATCGGGTTGGTATATCAAGAAAAAATAGTTACAACTATTTATGTAAAGGAAACTTGTAACAGAAACGCCAATAAATGTAATAGTATTAACAGTTGCGCTGTGAACCTTATGCAGCTATCTTATTGATAGGAACGTATGCGGATATTTCCTTAGGGACGCGTTTCAGATGTTGAACCATTAACGTCTCCATTAAAATCGTAGCTATTAATGGAAGCACGCGTTTGCAAGAATATCATATAAGACAGGGATTTCCGAGAAATGTAGCGGGGCGCATGGCCCGAGTATCTGGATACATTTACGAGCGTTAAACCGCGTGTCGATATTAATACCCTGGTGGCCCTGCATCAGGGTCGATCTCGTTTCCGCTCTTACGAGAGCCACCTTCGTAGGTGCCCGAAGGCAGAAATCCAGCGGAGTCATGGCAAAACCGAGAAATCCTTTGGCAACGAATAACTATTCACGGACGCGGAAAACTCGTTAGAGCGAGGAATACCGTCTCTCGTTTCGTGAGCTTATACCGGAAGTGGGTTTTAACGGAAGCTGAAAACTTACGAGCCCGGGTACATAGCGGCCCTTGTAATCCTCGAGGAGATACCGTAACGAGGTATCGAATATAAGAGGAATGCCAGTAAATCAAATTAGTATACTTGATACTTTTACACAAGTATTGCCTATTAATGGGAAAAAGTTATTAAATTTGATTGTCTCGCTTGTAAACTGCGTCTCCAAGTGAAGTGAAGAATTCATTATGAGACGAAAAGCTTTTGCTTCATTTTCTCCAAACTTTTCTAATTTAACGCTATTATTGTTTCCAAACGCATACACAATTATGATCCTTTGTTAGCTTTGTATCATCTTGACGTTTACGTAGCGGCGCTGTCCAGATTCTTCTAGCAGCGACCACACCGAGCAGCTGAAAATAAGCGAATCCTGGAAAATGCAACTTTTCCAGGAGGATGATTTTCCGCTTAGAGGATAATCACAAAGAAGCAATCTTTAGACGCCAAGGGCATATCCTTTTAGGCAGAGAGAAAAATGCATTTGCGAGTCCTGCAGCCAAGTTGAAGTTTTCACTGCACTGCGAAGACCGTACGATAAAGGCATTTCAACAAAAAGCCATCTTCTAATAAACTTGGCGACAAAGCGACGACGAACGTGATGCAAAACAGGAATGCTCAGGCTCTCTACACGTGCGCATCAACTTTCCGCGCACTATGTAAATGCAGCAATACACGCTGTGAAGTTTGTTATACGACGCTAGAGTAGGAAAACGTGCTGTCACGAAACGCTTTCGTAATTATCTCAAAGTTACTGATGAGAAATTTCAGTCACGTCGATAAATGGCGTTTTTAAACGTCGCTTCTACCACCGAACAGATATTTATGTACAAGCGGTATATTTTCAAGCGCTAGCGATCTCGTCGAGTGAACACACATCCTCGATTCTTCTACATATACCCGCGTGAAAGAACGCGACACGGCGATATAGCTTCACATACTCCTGCCGTAATATGCAGAGCATCGTCGGCACATTTCTTATGGCGAAGCAAATTCGTGGCATGCGAACGACATGAAAATCGAAATAAGCGTAATGCGATGGCGTATGTACAGGAAAGGGAGAAGTCAGGAGAACGGATGAAGCGACGGCAGGAAACCAGAGATGAACGAAACGCGCGACTCATTTTCGGAAGTGGACGTGCTCTTTCTTGCTTTCTTTTTGTTTTATTGTTTTCCACATCCCATATAATGTTTTGTTCACCGAAACAGACGTATAGTTTCTTTGCACGCGACCGAGCGGATAACAATGTGTACAGTGTATCGTATAATGTTATGATTTGGACACGAGAGAACGCAAAGAAGGTAAGGTTGGGAGAAAAAGGGAAAGTGCCGTTCCCTTCACGCAAGGACGAGGAATGTCAAGCTCGCCATGTCTTTCCAACCCCTGCGCTCCCGTTTGTCGGCCGGCCTCTCCTCCGCGCCACTCTCGAGTGAGTAAAAGTACTTTGCTCTTCGAGTGAGTAAAATACTCCTGAAACTCCGCGAACTTCAAAAGTTCGCCGCTCGAATGACACTTTACCATTAAGTTTCGATCGGCAAATATCCAATGTTCAAGTAAGCTATCTGGCCGAGTTTCAAAATGTTAAAGAGTAATTACGGAATATAGTTGAACGGAGGCAAGAATAATCCTTAATGGCACGAAGGGCATATTGCCAAATAGTGATATATCAACAAAGTTTACCTAAGTAAATTTATTTTGCAGTTAGACATAATTATTACAAAGATTTAACTGACAACTTTTCATACATTTACGTAAACGATTTAGATAGATTTAAATAGACCGTATAATTTCCGAGATATAATCACTTACAATTTACTGTTTCTAACATTTCGCTTATCGCCATTGGCTGCTGAGGTAGAAAACCTGACACTTGGACGTGTATTTGTCAGTAGTAAAAAATCTATAATAAGGATTGAAACCAAAAAATCGAGCAAAAGTAGTTGAATGTTTAAAGAAGTGGATGTTAAAATTTCAACGATGCTGACCGTATCAGAGTATGATAAATACAAAAAAAATTTGGCTAGGTTGGCTTTTTCGTGCACAGTAATGCTTTGCGAATGTGGCAACGTAGGTTATACCATTCTCTTTGCTTTTTGGTTAAGTGTTCTTTGCGTTTTCGCTTCTGCTCTAACACTTTCTCTTTTATAAAACGCCCTTTATATCGTAACTGATTTTCCATTATGATAATTAAAATATCTTTTCACAATTTATCGCATTCACGATGAAATGTGACGTTGCCACGTTCAACGCTCTGCTAACACTACGCATTTCAGAATACAATTTTATTTTCTGTAACTCTTTTTTATTTTATCGGTTTTTAATAGTCTAGGAGAAGCAATAGTGTTTAAAACTCTGTTTTCGAATTTAGTATAAAAGAATTCATTGTCTATTGAACTTTATTGATCAAGTCTCATTTTGACTAGCATAATTGGGCAAGAACTACGTTAAAATCAGAGTATCATCACTGAAAAGCAGTAAATAGTCACTGATCGCAATTAGGGTAAGGTAATTAAATTCGGATCAGATACCAAATGCGTTTAGTCATCAATCAACAATTTGACGAGTCGCTAATAAGCGACATAAAAACATGTCGATGCCTTTTATGATAGCGACAATATAGCATAAAGTTGTAAATATATAGAAGAGCAAAATTAAAGTGAATTGCTTTAAAATGTCGCTTATTATGGTCACCTTAAGTGTATCACTGCGATCTCGCAATGGTATAACTGTCGTAACTGTGATCAGTGTTAATTCACTGATTGACTTTCAGAGAGTGCATTATTTTTCGTATCGCTCATCGATTGATGATCTGAATAGTCGATTTAAAAAATATTCTTCATCTAAAAAAATAGATACCGTCAAATTAATTCCTCGTCTCAAAGTCTATGTAACAAAGTATATTATCGATCGTAGTATCCGACAAGTTGCTGTGTAAGAGGATCACGCGAAGCCACAGTAGAGAATTGATTCTAAAGTAATACACCCACAAAATTTAATTTAGACTCTACGGAACTTTTCACCTGTGATTCAAAAGTAAGACATCGATCGGACAATGAACTGTTATGCAATAGGATAAGGCAAATGCATGTGAGAAAGGAAGAAATAATTTTCCATTAACGTATATATATATTTTACTATTTTAGAATTTAAAAATATTAGCAACGTATATATTTTCGCGGTTGTTATTGAATTTTAAAGCTGCATATATTGGTCCCTAATAAACCTCAGTGGTCGCATTTCTCGCTGCATCTTTCATGCAGCTAACCGATGCGAATATTCATCCATTGAGTATATTAAACAAAATAAAGGTAGCAATATGCATATCAATATATTCGTTACAGCGAATGAGTACAACCGGCTGTTTTTACAACAGAAATATAACAGAAAAATAACATTGTTTGAAAATATAAAACTTGCTAAATTCCAATGTGCAATTTATGATTTGTCAGGAATTGCCAGCAATCCAATGTTTAGAAAGAAAGGAAAAGAACGTACGTATGCCACGTGTTATTTTTTTAAGTAATTTTCCTTACAGCAGATGGAAAGTTCTTTGTAAGAAGCACTTTTCAACGTTGTTTAACTTGTTACTTAAATATGAGGTTGGAAAACATCCTTAGGCCGTTGCTCTTAAAAACCGTCGTTTTTAAGAGAAACGAGATTCCGCCCGTCAGGATGGACGCGAAGTTTCGGTTATACGACAACGACATTGTGTTACTCCGCGTGCTTTGCGGTAGCATACTTAGTAACTCGTAGAAACTCTCGACAAAGTTTACGTGACGCTCTCAAAGAAAACCGCTTCGAACACGAACGATTCAATGGCCGTCTTTTGTTCAACATTGATGTCGTTCTTCGCATTTAATGAACCGTTTACGAGACTAGCGCATCGCCACAAGAATGCATTTGAACCGAAATAGATACAGCGCCGCATACAAATGCACCCTTGTCGGTAGGAAAATTCGTGCGGCAACGAAAACTCGTTTATACTTTAATATACTAATCATTTCCCGTTGCTTATTAAAACTTGCTCTAGGCGCGGTGCACCACGGCTCGATACGCAAACTTCTTAATATCCGCGTATATAATTAATCGCGGTTGGATATAAGCAAAAGTAAATTGCGGCAGACGCCTGAGGCGCTTAACATAATTATCGGCTATTACTTCATAATATGCGCAACCTTCCATCTGATGTCTCGCTAGAAAGAGAAACGTGTAAAAGTTCGAACAATCTGTCGAGTCCACGTCGATTGAGATAGCAATAATATTTTCTTCAGATTAACAATACAATTTATGATACGCAACACACATACCAAGCAATATCATATTCCACTTATTCCAATATAAATTTTTTACATATGATATACTTAAATGTAAAATGTTAAATATCTTTTTCAAAGATTTGCAAGAAAGTACCCTTGCAATCTCGCCCCATGTCTTTAATGTTTCAGTTCTCTCTCGTATATAGGATCATATACACAGAGAGAATTTTCTTTTAAAATTTACTCTGAAAATCAAGTAATCGTGGGACAACATGGCAGTTTCAAGAACTTTATAAAAGATTTTTGAAATATTACTATACAATTTACTAGTAAAATATATAGAGGAAAGTCCCTTGTTATGAAATAGGATCCTAATATGGGATAGCGGGGTTTCTGTTAAATTAATAGTCATCGTCGGTTAATTCCACCACGAATTTATTGCCCTTGAAGTAAAATCTGTTTAGTGGAAAATTTATTGTTAGATCGTGTAATCGTTGTGAAAAAAATATGTAATTAAATTTGGGTGTTGAAAGGCTGCTATCTCATAATAGAGGACTTTCCTCTACTAACAATAAGTATAATTGCTGGTAAAAAGCATGATAAAATTTCACAAAACTCTTATAACATTCTTCGAAATGCCGCGTTGTCCCACGATGACATGATTTTCAGGGTGAACTTTAAGAGAAAATTCTCTCTCCGTTTACATTAAAAAAAAAACTGTTCGTCTCCAGAGTGATATCCATTGATATGTATATGTCCGTCCCCAAAGTGGCAACTTCGAAACTGCTCAAACTCCTCGGCGCTTTTTAACACTCTTCAATAATTTTCCCGCCGCAAAATCCCGAAGAATCGATCGAAACTCGTTCGTCATCGTTTCAGGATGTAATCAACGTCGCGGTTCCATTCTTCGAGAATTTTTCACCACCATCCGTACGACCATGATTAATCGCTATTTTATTCTATTCGGTATGCGGGTGGTGTCGGCGTCTAAAGAAGGGAGTTGCTAGTGTGGAAGAAAACCGACGAAAGTAACTAAAGAGGAAAGAAAATCCATCGTCTCCATGCACTCACCGATGCAGGACGTCTCTTCCATCTTCGT